AGTCAGGTTTCGTTTAGAATAAACGACTACAGCCTCTTTAAGATTAAAATAAAAGGTAAGGTTGCTCATTCGCCCAATTCATCAGTTTCGCTCTATGATGAAATATGTGTGCATTTTACTTCAATGATTACTTTTCGTAACAGAGATTGGCAAATGCATAGTCCAGACAAGTCATAATCAGTTTTTTTTTGTACTTTTTTTTTTTCTTAAAAAACCAATAAACCACATCCTTGACGTAACAGTAGAAAACATATTTCTCAAGTAGTCCGATCAGTGGTGCCAAATCCTTGGAGAAGGTTGGGATCTTTAAAAAGGGCAAAAATAAATATGTTTTCACTTCCCATAGATCTGACCATGTGCGTTTTATACTTGTTGAGCGAGACGGCACTTTTGCAGGTGTTAAGAACAAAGCATTTTCGAGAAGGACCACAGCTGGATATTCTCCTTGGCCCCTGGTACTAATCTTTTGTCTTAAGGTTAAGCTCCCAAAATAAGGGCTTTTCAGTTGATCGGTTGATATCAAAGTGCGCAAGAAAGTGGTTCCTCCTTCCCGGTCGCCGTCCGCTTTTAAGAAAAACGTTTATGCGTAATCCTTTGAGCACTAAGAGTAACTGCTATCTAATTTAACACATTAGCAATTTAACCCTAAACCCTAAATGCTTCACCCCCTTTTTCTAATAGTTACTCTTATGTAATATTTTGACTTCATTTTATTTTATTTTATTTTGATTTTATTTCATATTTTAATAATATATAACATATATTTTTTACAATTTTAAATTGAGTTTAGGAGCGTGCTGTTGTTACAGAAGTCGCTCCCTCAATTTTAACACCTAACTTTTATGTTCATTTTACACACTCATTCCCACCCTTGCATACACTTTGTTCCTTTTTTACCCACTGATCACGAGATTGCTCATCATTGGAGTGGGAACCCATTTTCATGGGATCCCATACATCAACACCAAGGGAAGCCACAAAGGTTGCTAGTGAAACTACTGATTAATATATTTAATACTATACAAAAGTGCGCAAGAAAGTGGTTCCTCCTTTCCTGTCGCCGTCCGCTTCTAAGAAACGTTTATGCCTAATCCTTTGAGCATTAAGAGTGACTGCTATCTAATTTTTCTTCACAATATCATCCCTGAATCATACACTAAGGTAAGGAGACTAAAGGAAATTGATGACCAACTAAAGAAAGTCTTCATTATTAAACAAATTCTCCTTGTCAGCCGCACCTTAAGAAATGTATAGAGAACAATATGGAAAATATGCATACTGATTTTGGGGTTGATTTGCTAATTGTTCGCTTACCTAACTCCCAGCAGAAGTACTCGATCTGGACATTCCTCAGCAGATCAGCATTTGGGGAGCTTGCATGACACGAAAGGACTACAAAGACAAACAAAAGACGTCCATGATTAGCAAGGAGATAAACATAACATTGGGATTGTCATAATTATAGATATTTCCGTCTAGATTTATAAGAAATGAGATCATTCCTCAGAATTTTGGTTCAATACCGCTTTTGTGGACCAGTTCTATTTTTCGCAAGTTTTAGTTCTCACCCACTTTATCAAAAACTGAGAGTTGTTTTCATTGTTTGTACAGAGGGAGGAAGAAAGACGAAAGAAAGGTTACTGTAGCATATTCAACAAAAATTCCAGCACGCGAAGGACAATTTATATTTTCAATATCACTTGGGCAATCTGAAATTTCCTCTAAAAGAGATGCGTTTTTAAAAAGAGTTTAAAAAATAAGAGTGGATTGGCAAGCTTTTATCACTTTATTTTGGTATGTAGTCTGAGGTTTTCAAGTATAGCACGGAGAAAAAAATTACCAAATAGCGGTGTAATAATCGGAATTATTATAGACATCGATTTGAAGTTCGTCAGTGAGGTCAAATGGCTTGGAGCTAAAGTTCAACTGTTCATCGCGATCGAGTTCTTTGGAAAAGGTACAACACTGAGAAACCAAAGTACTCACTGAAGAAATGATTAACTGGGGTAAGCACTGTTCTGAATAGTGAATAGTGATACTGGTCTAAAGGATAAACCGCCTTACACTGAAACGTATAGGAATTCATTTTATTGTAGAACAATGAAAGACTGGTACTCCTTACCAAATAGTGTTTTAGGAATTGATAAATTAATTAATTTTAAAGATGCAATTAGAGGAACCTTTAACATATGTATATATATATATATCATTTATCTTTACATTTTTTATCTCATTTTGTTAATTATTATTGTTATTTTATGTCTTGCGTGATAGCCTCCCTTTGCAAGACTAATAAATGTAGATGTAGATGTTAACCAAAACATAGCGATACCAAACGAAACCGATTGTTATGATTGTCGAAAGCACAGAATAGAAATGTTACAAAGCTGTCATCACAATAGGGCGATGCGTTTCCTTTATGACAGATTTTCTGTGATGTCATTTTCAAGAACACTACTTCTAAGGTGATGTAAGGAAAAAAAAAGGCACGGGTACTTACTGAAAACAACTTACTCATAGTTATAGGACCAGTCCAGCCATGTAGGGCGATAATCAGAGATTGAAGGCAACGACTCTCCAAAACATTTTCTTTTTCGTACGTGACAGATTGTCGGTATAGCACGCCGGTTTGAATATTCTTGTGATTGGCGCGGATAAGATAATTATCGATACCTTTAAATTTGTTTCCTTGACCTGATTTGGTTTGATTTTGGCTTATTGATATGATACGATTAAATCTGGAACGAACATTGTCCCTATCTTTAATTAAGAAGCTTGCCTCGATTTCTTCAATCAATTTAGGGTTTACAAGTAAATACTAGTACTGCTTCACTTGAACGAACGTGTCTCCTAAAGCTTAGAATACAACATGAACTGATTTCATTAAAACATTCTTGGCAAAGATTTTCATGATCATAATAAAAGATTATCATAATCAAAAGATGATCATGATCAAAGATGATCATAATCAAAGATTACCATTTGCGTTGTGTTTTTCCGCATTAATGTCTCGACAGGGAAGAGTGTTTCTCTTGCAATCGCGTAGACCAGTTTAATCCGTTTTTGAGACATACCATTTATCCGGCATATGTAATTTGGTAATAACAACTAAGTTGAAATTGTAAATTGGCCACCGTAAAGAGTTAAAAGGCTGACGTTTCGAGCGTTAGCCCTTCGTCATTCGCTCTGACTAACGGCTAACGCTCGAAACGTCAGCTTTTTAATTCTTTTCGGAGGCTAATTTACAATTTCAACTTAGATGATATTGCCAAGTTACCTTGTTACCCCCACCGACGAAGCACAACAGTTTCTTTAGAAACTTACCCTCTTTATTCATTTAACATACGAACAGCTTTTAAGTTTTCTTATAAAAGAATATTGTGTCTGAGCTTGTTCTTCTAAAAAAGAAATGAATCGCGCTTTCTAAAACTTCCCATGACTTCTTAATGATTTATAAATAACTCATTAACTACACGTAAATAAGTTGTTGAATATACGTCTATACTGAAATTTAACTTCCGGTTATAATTTCAAAATGCCAGTCACTGTCGCCCATAGTAGCTCACGTTGAAACTATCCTTGGGCTGGGGTTTCGACGTTTTGGGCTGGGGTTTCGACGTCCAGTCTTCGTTCTCTTCAGGTGAACGGCGAGCTTACTTCCCGACCAGCGACAGGTAATCGAGTCTACGCCACTCTCGCCCGGACGATCACGCTAAACAATGGATTGAAATAAGTCTGTCACGTGTCCTCATTTCTTCTTTTTAATAATATTCACGCACCTTTTGTTATTAAAAAGAAGAAATATGTATAAATATAGTGAATATATTTTTGGCTTTTGTGGTCTGTGATAAATATAAGTAATACATTAGTTTTCCACAATCCTGCCGATAACTTCTCCAACATATCACAAGCGTAAAGATCTTCTAATTCGCTATTACACGAAATCTACAATTTTCTTGAGTGTACAGAGATGTTTTCCTTTAACTTGCGTTAATCTCGAACTATAGCACATTCGTTAATTTCCCACAGAAGGGTGAATTATAGTAAACCGCTAATTTCTTTTATACAAAGCAAAACCTGGAGTTGAATAGCTTGATGTCGAACTTTAGTGTGCTTGTGAAATGATGAACCACCACTACGATTTGGTAAACTTGAATTGACTAACCAGTTTATAAGATAATTTGTTTGTTTTGAGGAAAACAACTACTCATTAACGAACAAGATTCTTTAAAGGCCCATTTTCAACCGAGATGCCTTGCGCGCCCAGATCATTTTTCATATATGAAAAATACGCTATTTTGCTCGAAGTTGCGGAATCGCTTTGATATCTTCTTCCATCTTACTAATTAGGGCTTTCAAAGTTCCATCTTGAATCATGTGCGAACAACAAACTATCGTAGTATCCATATCAGTAAATAGTTTTTAATTCTTACATGTATGACGGTGAAAAACGTCATTTGAAAAGTTGATGCCGCCGAAGAAGCGGTCTAGAGGAAGGCCGGGTCTGCCCGGCTCGGCAAAGGTTATTCGACTTCGAGAGTCTGTGTATGATTTATGGAGGGCAAGGAAAACAACAATGGGTTTCGGTAACACTACAGACAGTGCTTTTGCAGAAATGTTATTGCATTGTTCCTACGATGGAACTAGAGACTCCGGGGAGATTTTTTCGAGGTGAGAATAATTATTTGACTGATTT